ATTGTGTTTGTTTCATTCCAAATCCATTGTGGTGGTGTATAGAGCCAAAGATGTTAGAATTGTGTCGATGTCCCAATATTTCTGGACCTGACTGTATGTTGCCCTACGTTTAGACTAAGGATATCTGTTCTTAGCTTTGGAATTAGGGAATTTAATTTATTTAGCAATTCAAAATACTGCCAGAGCTGTTTGCACTATAAATTAAAATTCCTGAATAAAATTATGTAATCAATAGAATTATGTAAATTAAGTATGCCTACACAAGCTTGCTCAAATTAGGTTCTTTTAGCTACTGTCTTCAGAAGAAAACTGAAATCTTAGAAACCTAGTGTCATGTTCAACCACTATACATCTGTTTAAAATCAGCTATTGTGTATATATTTTCAATGCTCCATAAACAGAAAATGATAAATGTTTCTTTTTTTGTAATGTAGAAGCTGAATTACTAAACATAAAAACACTGTTTTCCATCTTACCTTGTAAAACATGTCTCCCTCCTCCATCAACTTGCTCAACAGGATGACCATGATGTCTGGTTTGGAAGTGGCCATTGCCCATGTTGCTGGACCTGTAGTGTACAGGATGCATGATGGGTAAAAAACTCATACAATGCAAAAGGTGGCAGTGGAGGAAAGCTAAGATGAGAAAACATCCTGGGCAGAAAATTTCTGATGGAGAGAACAACTTGTTGCAGCCAACTCAAGAAGCAACATTGTCCCAGCAAAAAAGTTGGGCTTATATATGTGAATGAGTGAAATATATACTTTGCAATATTATAATTAAATTAATTTTAAAGCAACTCATAAATGCTTGAGTCATTTCAAAAGCGAGAATATTCAATTACTGGCATTAGCAAGAAAACATATTCTAGAAAAATGAATAAGGAGAACAAGTCTAAAATTAAACAGAACTAAAATTAAACATCTATATCATTGTACAGAAGTTCATTGCTGTGTACTGCAGAATCTGATACAGGTACATTTGAAATTTTATGTGTGAATATTTGTGACACCATGTGAAAATCTTTTAAAACTTCAGTGTTTCTGAAAAAGTTTCAGTTCAAACTATATTTTTATTCATGAAAGCGCACTCCCCTTCTAATACAGTCCAAAAGTCCAATTCTGCAACTGTCTTATGTTGGTCTTCAAAAACAACAACAACAAACAAACAAACCACTTCAAAATGAGTTTCTCACTTGGTAAATTATCAGCCACTGAAGTTCTTATCATTATAGAAAAGCATTTCAGAAGACTCGATAAAAATAAATTTGTAGTATTTTACAATATTTTACAGCATTTTACAAGTAAATTAAGTCTTGAGTTCAAGTTATTCTCTGCAGCAGTAAGGACAAAATAATTATTTGAAGATAAGAAAAATTAAAAGTGGGGAGTGGAATACAAGCAGGCAAAACTATAGAAGAGAAAAAGCAGAGCTGTTAGACCACCAAGTTGGATGATGACAGCAGTGAAATATACCTCGTGGGCGACTTGGTAGTGTCTGACAGCCTATGGGGGTGGGGTGGGGGGAAGGAGGAGGAAAAACGAAGTTGTAGGAGAGGGAGAAAAAAATGGATGACGGTGAATTTTAAAAAAGGAAAAAGCAGCAGTGAGAGGCAGGCAGCAAAGCAGCAAGGCAACAGCAAATTTTGTTGTGACGCAAGAATTAAGGGACAAGGGCATATGCAGATAATGCTCAAGTCTAGAAGCTTCTACAGAGCAGGGTAAGCAGCATACCAGCATAACATAGCTGTCCAAGTTTTCATTTTTAGACAAGGACCTCATTATGAATTGCTTTCTTTAGTTTGTAAGAGCTAAATAATGAATTCACAATACTGCAGTCATCGCATATGGAAGTGCTGAGCATCTGCATATTGAAACTGGGCATGCCTATGTCACAGGAATGCACTATGTTTTCATATCCGAGAAAGGTATGAAAGAGAGGTTTTTCCCTCTGTGTCCTCCCTACCTATCTTGGCTCCTTTCTTCAAAAGAGTAACTACAACAGAAGTATTGCGGCAACCCACTGCCCTATCGAGCGGGCGCATCCCACTGTAATCCACATGCTCAATCATGGCACCATGATCCACCAGGAACTGAACCTATAAATAAACAAACAAGTGAGTCAGCATCATCCAGAAACAATCAATGTTATTATGTGACTAAGCTGAGGTTTCAAATCCAAAAAAATGCTGGTTACCCCCTTTAAAGCCCTACATGACACAAGGCCAGATTACTTGTGGGACTGCTTATCTCCAGCTGTTTCTGCACATCCCACCACATCTATTAGGATGGGTATCCTCCAGGTCTTCTCAATGAAACAGCCTACTCTGTTGTGGTGCCTGTCCCATGAAACATGCCTTCCCCTGGAGATCCAAATGGCCCTGATCCTGTTGGCCTTCTGGAAGGCTGTAAAAAACTGGCTTTTCTCACAGGCATTAGGGCTGGGTTGTTAGTGATGCCCAATATAGGTGAACTTATGATTGAGGATAACATTTGAGGTGCTTTGGCTTTTGTATTTATTAGGTTTGTTGCTATTGGTATATATGTTTTTTTATCATTTTCTATTGTAAGCTATGGTATTTCTAATCTTGAATTAACTATATCTCTAAATAATAGGTTTTATATCCCTTTTGATCTGGCATTAGGAGTCATCAGTCCAGACCAGCTTGTCAAACTGGGCAACCTGTTGCACAAAAATCCCAAATGGCGCAGAAAGCTGAAGTTTATGACACACCTGAAGTACTTCAGGAGTCATCAATGCTCATCCCTGACAGTGTTACATCATGTTGGTTCCTGTTCTTTAGCCCTTCAATCTAATTCTGGAGTTACATTCGAAGGCATAAAAGCTTTTCAAAACTAACCGTTTTTGTGGTCTGAGTAGATAATTAGTAGCCCAATCAACACCACACAATAAATCAAATTTGAAAGCTTGACAAAGGTGTCATAGAGTTCAATTCCCCTGTTATATTTTATACAGATCCAGCCAGAAGTATTGGATTCCATAGTCCATTTTTTCCCAGGCTCTGCTTTATGGACTATGGAATGAAGAATGGAAGATGCCATTTACTTGTGTCAGTTTCAACTTATTTCACAGCAAATTGGGATTCTTTGGGGGAAAGTGGAGAAATATTTTGGCCAAGTCTGTATGTCATAGGAGTCAGTGGCTGTGGTAAAGAAGTGAAATGACTTATTTTCTCTTGGGAAATAAATAAATAAATAAGCAATAAAAATAATCAAAACTTACCACCTCTGCATCTCCATAAAAAGCTGCTAAATCCAATGGAGTACGCCCATTTTTGTCAGCATGGTCTGTAGCAGCTCCACTCTCTACCAAAGCTCGCACTACTGAAAGATGGCCTTTTAGGCAAGCCCAGCTAAGGGCAGTTAGTCCTTCTTTGTCCATTAAGGAAATTGAGGAGCCTGGAAGAAAAAAACAGCAAATCTGCTTAAATGTCTGCACAAGCTAAGCCCATCTGCACCACATTCTTGCAGTATTCTTTAATAAAGCTTTGGTCCTATAAAGATTTAGGAATGTACATATTTCATTTACAAGAAATATTGCTTATAGCATCTTGATAGATACTATGGGAGGAAAATTGTCACCTAATAGTTTGTTGCCCCTGGAATGGCTTGTTAGAGTACTTTCTGGTCAGAGCATGGCTTCTCAGCTTGTTTGTATTGAACAGGATTCTTGTAACACTCCTTCTGCATTTTGGCTCATTCCTTAAGAGTGAGACAGACTAAGTTATCTATTTGATTAGCTCTCCTAGCTAACAGATTAACTTTAAATTCTCCAGAAGCATCTAGTAAGTCATGCTTGCATTTTTAAAAAAAACAATATGGGCTGCTGGGTAAAAGAGAGCAATATAAGTATTTAACAAGACATAGGGACTAAGTGACCAAAAATGAACGCAAGAGTAGTAGTATGGAGATCTTTATTGTATTAAATACTAAACAATTTAGGATTTAATTTCTATGAAATCTATATATTTTAAAATATATATCTGACTGATGATGAGATTCACATGGCCATGTTCTAGATCTTTGCTAGTGAAGTAAACAATTTATTTGCCCTTCTAATGCATCACTCAGGGTAGCTTACAATGTTACTTAAGATTAATACATGTTATCTTAATTGCTTAAAAAACACCCCTCCCACACCAAAAACACCAAAGGAAAACCCAAAACACACAGAAAAAGCTGAAAGCAGATACACAATCTTACATAAGAATGTAATACAATTAGAAAACGTGGTGGGGAGATAGTGTTTTCTAAAATTTATGTTCCATATGGAGTGAATGCTTTTCTAAACAGGAAAGTCTCAACTCAAAATACCAGTGGAGAGAATGCCAATTTACCCTCCTGAAAACAAGGGGAGTTGACGTGTCCACAGTTGGGGCATAAGGTAGAGTAGCAGCAGATCTCAGGGAGTGGAAAAGCCAGTATATCATGAGCTGATATCAGAATTGTCCTGAACCTAAGCTCTTTCAGGCTTTAAAGATCATCACTAAGACTCTCTGGTGTCTAGAAATAGTGCAGCTTTGTAGCAGTAGCTTTATACAGTCTTGCCTGGAAGCACCTCCCAGTACGTTTTGTGCAGGGCCATTTGTGGTTTCTGAAGATTCTTCCAAAGTAGCCTCCTACAGAGTTCACTACAGCAATCCAATCTGGATGTAACTAAGGCATGAATCACCATAAATATATCTGATTGTGCAAAGAACAGATGCAGTAGGTACACCCATTTGCAAATGCAATCTTGACTATAGTCTAGGTACCAAACCAAATCTAGAGGCCCTTCTAAACCATGAACTTGATTCTTTAGAAGGAATGCTATCTTACAAAAGCTGAAAACCTACTTCTGAGTCTGTCAGCTTTCTGATCTGCAGCTGCCCTGACTTATTTAGATTTCATTAGTCCTTATGTAGCCCATTCTGAACATCAAAAACATCCCTGGTAGATGGAAAATTCTTAAAGAGAATCTGGGGCAAACCTAATAAAGCTTTTTAGTAAGAACTGTAACAGTGAGAATTCAACTTCTTTGTGACAGCTCCTATGTCATAAAGCTTTGGGTTTTTGCAAAATAATCAAGCAACTCCAGAACACACACTTTGTGAATTTCTCTTTTCATTTATTTGCAGCAGATTGCTAATGGAAAAATTTCTTAGTTTTGTTTCCAAGTGTGAAAGACTAATTATACTGATTATATCTAGCCTGTTTAAACAAACAATAAAATCTTTAGATCTCTCTTTTCAGTTTCCCCTTCATTTAATTCTGCTATAACAAGGTTGGAATGCAGTAAGTCAATCCTTGATTTATACCTACTGTCTCTAATGTTTCTAATTTAACTACTTCTGTGCCTGAAAAGTAAAGCGTCTGCTTTTGACAACTGAACTGTTATATATGTGGTTATTTCTATATCCCTCTCCCCTCTTAGAGTTAAACAAGGGCATCCATTATACTTGGCTGACAATCTCTCAGGTTGGCAAGACATTGTTTTCCTTGATCTCCTCTGGAACATGATCCCCCAAAATGATAATTTCTCTCCCTCTGGATAGGATCTTCAACTGTTTTTCCTGGGCCACTCTGGAACAGGGAAGCCTTTAGCAGCTATAGCTGCATAACCCATTACGATTCATCAGTCTTTCCCTGCATCCCAAGTTTTGTCAACTCTCCTACCTTCAAGCATATCAGGTTGTCTTGTTCCCCATAAGAAAATTTCTGTCTATGTACAATTGCATATATATTTAGCCCAGTTTTTTTCTATTTTTTATAATATTTTATTAAAAATTTACATAGATAAAAGCTAGTTAATAGAGAACTAAAAAAATATACAAACAAAAAAGAAAAGAGAGAAAAAGAAAGAGAAAGAGAGAAAAGAGAGAAAGACATATAAAAGGTGGCTTCTCCCTCCCCCCAAACAAGTATAAACATTCACAGACCTTAAGACCTTCTCTATTATTACAAAAAAACCTCTTCTTCCTATCTGTCATCCTTTAATAATAGTCAAATTATAAAAAATTCATCAATCTTACACAGCAAAAGCAGTAAGAGTACCAGTAATAATAACCCATATATTTTAACCTTCAACAAATACATCCATTATGCATTTTAACTAAAACTTTCTCTAATAAATAAAACATAAAAAGATTTATCCCTATAGGCATAAAAATGCCAACAATGGTAACATATATATCTTAGACTAAATCAAAAAGGTCCCTTTTAGCTTCAAACCTATAACTTTCTCTAACAAATAGAACAAGTTTATCCTCATATGAAAATATCTTTAAATCCTGGTTGTAACAAAAGATTCCAATATTAACAACTTAGAATTACAACTTCTACAATGTAACCCTGATCAAATAAGTCCACTTTGAACTTCTATTTCTTCCTTTTAAGAGGCTTGATCTTCAGCTGTTTCTTCAAATAAAGTCCCACATAATAATCTTGTCATTTTCTCCCTGTTTTCATGCGTCCCTTCTGTAGATCCAAAATCACTCTTCTGATTTATAATCTGAATATCCCCTTTAATTGTTAAAATAAAATTGTAGGTCCCATGCAGCTTCTTTCTCCATGACACTCTTATATTTTCCCACATTAAGGTATCTTACAGTTAATTCCAAAATCTTCAGCTGTATTTTTATAAAATTTAAAACAGTCCATAAAAATATTCTTTCCAATCCATCTAGGCCCTTAACTGTCCACAGTCAAGATTCTAAACTTGCTTTTGCTGTTTCAAAAATAAAAGCTTTTTTTCCTTTTTAATCTTTAAACTTACTTAAATTTTCTTTCTTCAAGGACAGAAGGAAATTCTCTTGGTATGCAGCAACTTGATTTTCAGAAGGTTTTTAATTCCAAATAAACTGTTTGTAGGTAGTTTCTTTTGTTAATTAAAAGAGGAAGTGTATGCGAGTCTAATGTCCTTTTGAAGGCTCTGAACTGCAGCTTGGGCTCAGTGTCTCCCGCGACTCCCAGAGTGCTCAACCCACTGGAGATCACTAATTTGAGATCTCTTCAAAGGGAGCCTCTGTAGGGAGTACTGTGGGTGATCCAATCATTTCCTTTGTCTGGAGACAGTTCTGGAGCCAGATCCTTCGTCGGCTCCTCTTAACTGCTGCCATCAGTTCCGTAAAAATGGAGCCATCTTCAATCTGCCATTACTGCCTCGGAAGCCCCCATTTTTTCCCCCTAGATCAGTTTCCCAGTCTCTGCTTATCAGACTACCAGAACAGAGGCTGAAATCTGGGATCCAGGTGGTCTATTGGCTGCCCTGTCCAAATTGCACAATCTGGTTACCCAGCTTGTGTTGAAATGCCCCCCCTTGTTGGCATTGGATGATTTCAACCTTCATGCTTTAGTGACTGGGTTGGGAAGAGCTCAGGATTTCATGGCCTCTGTGGTTATATGGTCTTGTCCCAGGAAACCCCAGGCAAGGCACACATAGGTGGGTATACTTGGACCTTATCTATGCCTTGGAGCCAGTGTATTATCTAGATGTGGACAACATTTTAGCTAGCCCTTTGCCATGATCAGATCACTTCCCAATCCTGATAGTAATAGTTTATTCAATTTATAGGGCCACTTAATTGAAATAACTCAAGGTAGATGAGATTGACTGCCACTCATGACCTTTGTGGGGCAAACTGACTGATCAAAAAGGTCTGTCTGTGATGGAAGACATGAGCGGGGAGGATTCTGGAATGGAGCTTCAAGGTTACAGGGAGGGGGGAGAGACATTGCAAGGAAAGCATTTCCTCAGCCCCCAGCTGGACTGTGTGAAAGTCAAGAGAAAGAGACTGGCCCCTCCCTAAAGGCATAATGGTTATAGTTGCTGTCGTTGGGGGATTAGAGTTAGCCTGGTGAGATTCTGTCTATTAGGTGCAAGCTAATAAAGAAGCTAAGGTAATTTCTGGACAGTGTTGTGATTCTTGGGCTGAACCTGACACTGTCTCAGGTGCCTCATGGATCCAGATGGATTTTGGAGATGCCTGGGGAGATTCTCAGTGATTTTATGAGTAGTCCTATAGAAAATTGCTTCTGAGTGCCCTCTCAGTGATCCTGGATGGCTGCTTTGCTTACTGCAGAGCTCAAACAAATGAAACAACAGAAGCAACACCTGGAATGCTGGTGTAGAAACATGAGAAGTGAGCATGGGTACAAGTTCAAATTTGAGCCTACATCATGGCAATAAAACAGATGAAGGACAATCACTTTTCCTCTCTTATTGCATCAATGGGCTGTTGTCCAATGGTCTTGTTTAAGCTAACTGATTCCCTCTCAGAGAGGAGATACCATGTACCACCAGGAGCTGCTCCTGGACACTGTGATCTGTTTTCCCAGTTCTTTGCTGATAAAAGTCATTCAGATTCACCAATTTCTTGACTCTTTATGGGTGGAGTCCATGTAGTGACTGGTACAGCATCTTGCCATATTACCTGGGATTCATTTTTGCCTGTGGACTCCAAGGAAGCAGGGTTGTCTCTGGTATTCCTCAGCCACTTGTGGCTTGGATCCATGTTCCTCCTGGTTTATTTGGGAGATGGTGTTTGTGTTTGTGTGTGTGTGTGTGTGCTTATGATGGGCTGGTTCCAGGAGATTATCAATACTTTGCTTTAGGAGGGAACATTTCCTGCAGCCTTGAAAGAGGCTACAGTGTGCCCCCTCCTTAAGGGGCCCTCCCTGAATCCAGCTATTCTTGAAAACTAATATTGTGCCTCTAACCTTCCTTTTATAGGGAAAGTTACTGTAGGCCCTACAAGGTAGACCAGACCAAGAAACAGATGCCAATGTGCCTAAAACTACTTTTATTAGCAACAGCTATAGTCAAGAATCTTGCAAGTCAGAATATGCTTCTCCTCCTCCCTCTTTTATCTTCATGTGAATTCAGGGGGTGTTTGCCTAAGACATGTTCATACCCTCCCCCCTCATCTAGGCTTAAGCAATGTTTATTTCCTCATTGCCTTGGTAATAGATCTTTCCTCTCTTCATCAAGGTCATGCTCTTTTCTCTCTGCAGTTACTCAGACCATGGTCACTGGTTAGCTACAGAGCACACTAGAGGAAATGGATTATCTTTTCAGTCAGGATTCAGACTTGGGCATGGGGTGGGACAACACTAGTTGTTGTCTTTGCTTTGGCATCTATTTATCTGTCCATTCTAAAAGAGCTACATACTGCCCTCTCCATAATCAGATCACCATCATCCTGTCCTGAGCAAGACAAATCAAGCCAAGAGTCTGTCCTCTATATGAGTGATGCCAGTTATCAATTGGGAGAACCCCATGGTTGTTGTGGAGTCTTGGGCTGCTCCTAACAGTATGGCCTTTATATGTCCTCTAGACACCTATCAGCTAAGGCATTCAAATATCCAGGATTTGGGGAAATAAGCAGACTAGAATGTGGGGGAGCAGCACACATTATCTGCCCACTTTATCCTGTGGTTACCAATCTACCTTTCATCACTATTCCTTCCTGTACCCGCTATCCTTACAATCACCATAATTTATTTCCTGTTAAACTTCTCTTTAAGTGTCTGACATTTCCTCTGAAAGATACCGCAAATGAATAGAAACTAATAGCCTGGCTCTGAACCCATCCTTAATTACTAAGTAGTACAATTTCTATATCAGAACTTGCAGAACAAACATACTCCGTGTCTGCTCTCTGGAACAATATCATTTATATCCAGGAGGCATGCCTTCTGTGTCATGGGACCTACCATATGAAACAGCCTGCCCTCTGAGATCTGGAAGGTCTAGTTGGCCTTCTAGAAGGTTTTGAAGACCTAGGCTTTTTCCTCAAGTGCTGGGTACATGATGTTAGTGGGGTCTAGTATGTGTGTTTTGTTTTTATTCTGCTATCAGTTAAATAGACTCAGTTATTTTTAATTTGGTATAACCTTCAGCTGTTTTGTGGTGGGTTTTTTGGGGAGGGTAAGCTGCTCAGAGTTACCTGGTTAAGATGGGTGGCCATATAAATTAGAGAGACAGACAGACGGACAGAGAGATCCCTATCTTGTAGAAGATTAATACAATGGCAGAGAGTGCTATTATATCCTTTGTAAAATCTAAGACCAGCAAGCCACTTTGTTTCTCTATGGGACAATGGCTCCCAACTTTTGGAATTATTCCTGATTCTCCAATCTCCTGGATAACAATATTCAATCAGGGTTATCAATGTTTGGGGCAGTAAGTGATTACAAAAATAAAAATAAAACAGTGGTTTCTACATAGGTGGAATGGGGTGGGGTGGGGTTCTGTAAAACAGAAGTATATAAATTGTAAATTAAAATAAATTGTTGAAAAGTTTTTTTAAAAAGATCCTAAACTCTTCCATAATATATGAAATATTGGCTGAAAATAAGGCATTCCCCAATTGTATAAAAGTGCTTTGAAATAAACTCTTCTGGCCTCATAAAGTTGAGCATATCTCTATTCTGCTGCACATGAATACTGTAGAATAGAACCAAAGAATGAACAAACGATTCATAAAGATGGGAGAAGATGTATGCATTCTGGAAGATTTGGCCTTAATCTTACAATGATTAACACTAACCTTGTCCCAATAAGAACTCCACAGTGCCCAAATGCCCCTCTGAAGCTGCCATCATTAGAGGAGTCCGACCTTGTTTATCTGCCATATTAACATCTGCACCATGGGTGAGCAAGAGGTCGACAATCTGAAAACACATAAATAATGCACTGGGTACAAACCATCTACATAAACATCACATCAGAAGTATCATGGATTCCTCTGCTAAGAATGACAACCTTTTGATGGCTGTGGCTACAATTTGGGGGGAGGGGGGGAAGGAACCAACAGTCAGAGCAAAGGTAAAAAAATCAATGGGTTGTGCCTACTTTTCCACATGACTGTACCTAATGTCTCTGTGACCCAAAAATACTTTAAATGCCTCTTAACTGAAACAGAGAAAGACTAAACAATCCAAGATAAATTCCTAAATGGCAGTTCCCTAGGAGGAACCAGAAATCTACAGCACAGAGTCTGTCCTTCTTCTTAATTGTAGAAGGATGTATTCTAAGCTGTTAATGGCCAAGAATCCAGCAGAAAAGCAATTTCTTCTGGGGGCTATTCCCAGAGGGTAAATCCAGAGGTTTATAAATATTCAAATGCTACTGTAATTATCATGGCATATTGCTGATTAGAGATTCCTATGATGGACTTTCAGGTTTAATTTAAATATCTTTTTTATTGGCTTCATTCCGATCCCCCCCAAAAAACCTTCTCCACTGAAATTCCCTTGTTTGGGATTTATGACTCTTTTCTCTACATTTTAGAGGACAGTTTATCATATCGATTAACTTTCCATATTGACTTTGGCAATTATTTTTTTCTGCTTAACACCTTACCATCTTTGTTTTAATAATACTTAGAATTGCAACTTTTAATTACAAGGACAATCACTGAAAGGACAGTTATTTGGTCAACACAGTAAGGATTACTTTTCCTTATTTTGATTTTTCTTCTACATTCAAGAAATATAAAGGGAAACTTGCCTTGATTATAAATATAAATACAATTGTTTTAAAGTCATCTGTGTTTCTAATAACTGTACTAATATATATATATTTTGGTGATATATATTTTTGGACCTTACTATTTTGCTTGCTTTGATATAATATACATTGGCCAGTTTGCTTCTTTAATTCCTTTAATTTTTTTTTCTAACCACAAGAGAGTTCCAACACAGAGAATATTTTGAATTGAAATCAAATGCAATATCATGTGTGAATTAACTGTTTGATGTTTGTTAAAGATTATATTGAGTGCTTTCTTTATGTTTTTTTCCTTCTCATACTGTTGGCTATTATATATTATGTTTTTAGTATTACTGAATTTTATTTTATGCTTTTTTTAATCTCCTACTCTTAACATTTTTAATTTTGTTTTAATATAATGAATAGAAATTCTGGGCATAAATAATTTATCATCTTTCCAACATGAGTAGGAGGAAACATAATAAAGAAGACTCAAAGATAAGGAAGTACAGCTTGATTCCTCTGTTTTTTTCTCTCAAGTCAAAGAATTTCTTGCAGACGAGTTTGATACAATAGAAAATTACCTCTTTAAATTAATTCAAGAGACCCATCAAGATATGGAAGTGAAATTCAACTCTCTTAAGGTGAATATTAATGATTCATATGATAAATTATTACCTGAAGTAGAATAACAGAATAAATAAATTAAGAATTGCAGACTGGACACTTGGAATTGTCCTTAATTTATAAATTTCAACAGAGAGAATTTAAAAGGTTGGAAGTTAAATTAGAACTAGTTGAAACAGAATTACACAGAAACAATTCAAAGTTTAGAGACATACCTGACAATTTTGGTAAAGAAGATCTAGAAAGAAAAATGGGACATTTACTTAAGCTGTATCTTGACTTGGATTCAGATGAAACTTTGGAAATTCAAGAAATCTACAGAATAAATTCTTGGATATTACAAAGGAGAAAACTACCATGGGTTATACAATCAAATTTATATTACTTTAAGTCTAAAGAAGAAATATTGGAATTAAAAAGAAGTGAAACCCCGCTAAAACTTGGTGATACCACAACTAAGATTTTACCAGATGCGCCTCTGCATATCCTTAGAAAGAGGAGAAACCTGAGATTTTTGACATCTGTGCTTCAGGATAAAACATCAAATACAAATGGGTTAGCCTATTTCATCTTGAAGTTTTCATGGATGGAGGGAAGGCTTTAGTCTGTTCTGTTAATAATGCTAACAGAAAGTTTGAATCTTGAATCTTTATCTTTAACAGAAAAGGGGAATAGAGAATAATAATAATAAAAACAACAACAACAACACCACCAAGCTTTAAGAACAAATGCATATAAAGCCAGAATTGAGAAGACAGCAATAGACAGTAAATGCCACCTCTGCAAAGAAGCTGAAGAAACAGTGGACCATCTAGTTAGCTGCTGCAAGAAGATCACAGAGACTGACTACAAATAACGGCATTATGAACCCTAACCATGAATCAATTGCAAAAAGCAGCTTTACTTGGAACAGCTTACATCCTGCAATGATACTTTTAACACCATCAAACAACACCTGCCTTTCCCAGATTCTTGGGAAGGACTCAACAGGTGGATAAAAATGCCAAATCCAGTCTAAACATTTGGCTGACTGTGCAACCAACAACAACGACAACAACAACAACAATAATAATAGATTAATATTCAATGTAACTAGAAAGGCCTTTCATAATAAATACTACTATGTGATTGGTAGAGGCCAGTTGGTCACCCTTGAAGCAACAGAGTGATTTGGAAGCATGGTGGCTCCGGGCCATCACAAGACATTGGGCTACCTAAGGCAAAAGACAAAGAGTTGAAGAAGAAAAAAGGCTATTAGAAGAATATCTGAAGGACAATGAAGCAGATGCACTTAAGCTAGTATACCATGAAGGCTTATTAAATACTGAAGAGACCAAACTGGCCTACAAGAAAGACCAAATGAAGAATAGAAAAGAGACATGGCAAGGCAAAATATTACATGGCTAGTACACAAAAAAACTAGCAGGCAAAGTATATAACAACAAGATCTGACAATGGCTAAGAGCAGGAAAGTTGAAAGAAATAGAGGGGCTAATTCTGGCTGCATAAGACCAAACCTTAAGGACAAATGCAGACAAAGCCAGAATTGAGAAGACAGCAACTGCTGCCTCTGCAAAGAAGTTGAAGAAACAGTGGACCACCTAGTCATCAGTCTTACAAATAATGGTATGACAAAGTAGCAACAATGGTGCATTGGAATATCTGCAAGAAATACCATCTGCCTGAAAGCAAGAACCGGTAGGACCACAAAACAGACAAAGTAATAGAAAATTAAGAAGCTTAAGTGCTCTGGGACTTTAGAATTCAAACAGACAAGCATCTGCCACACAACATCCCAGACTTAACAATTGTTGATAAGAAAGACAAAAAAGTCTGGATAGTGGACATTACAATACATGATGACAGCAGAATAGAACAGAAAGAACTGGAGAAAATCACAAAATATAAAGACCTGCAAATAGAAATAGAGTGACTGTGGCAAAAGAAAGCAAAGATAGTACTAACAGTAATAGGCGCCTTGGGTGCAATCCCAAAGTATCTGGAGCACCACTTGAACACCATCAGGTTTGACAAAATCACCATCAGTCAATTGCAAAAGGCAGCTTTACTTGGAACAGCTTACAGCCCGCGATGATACTTTTAACACCATCAAACAACAACATCTGCCTATTCTAGGTCCTTGGGAAGGACTCAACAGGTGGATAAAAATGCCAAATCCAGTCTAAACATCTGGCTGACTATGTGACGAATAATAAATTAAATTTATATGCTGCCTGACTCCCCGCAACTCTGGGAAAGAAGAAGAGACACAAGATCAAAAGTTGGATCAAGTAGCTGGTAATTTAGGGAATGGAGATTGAGAACAGATATAAAATCAGAAAGATGGACCAAACAGCTAGTGTTCCTTCAGAAGTTTTAAACAACTACTGTCATGGATCAAATCAAAATATTTTCAACCAATATTAATAGGCTGAATAGTGCATTTAAAAGAAAAAAAAAGTTAAAAAAATGAAGAAACACATATTAATGTCTTTAGGAGACTCATATTAAGAACAATAATGTAAGTCTGTTGGTTTGTAAGCATCTTGGTCAAAAAATTGTAGCCTTGGATAGATTGAAAAAAAAATGGAGTAGTTATATACATATAAAAATTGACCATGGACTCTAAAAAAACAAATCCAAGATGAACAAGGAAAATGTATCATAGTGCATTTTCAGACTGAATCTGGAAAAGTAACAATTGCCTCAAGTTATATACTCGGAATTATATGTAGTTCATAATCCAATAATTGCAAGACTAAATCAAGGAATTTCCAGATTGAACAGATGGAGATTTCATGAACTATTATAATTACAATAGAATTTTAAAAGTGTTATCAGAACTAAATAACTTCTTTCAAATCAATTAAGTTCTGATGGTTCTTAATCTACAGAATGGGATGTTAGCAAGGCATAGATTTTTTTTATCTCTCTGGCATCAGATAGAAAGAGATCCATGGAAAAACAGGAGGATGTATTATTGAATGATTTGAAGCAGTTAGAATCAATGTATAACATAACCTTGGATTTTGAACGAAAGATAGAAGTCCCAAAGAAATATTATAAGAAACAATATTAGACCCTTCTTGAATTTTAATAAGATAAATCTGATAAATAAAAAAGTGGCTATGACCTTTCTTGATACTGAAAAAGTCTTTGACAATTTGGAATGGTCCTTCATGCTTGCAGTTCTGAAAAATACAGATTGTGGCCTAATCTTCTCATATTAGGGTCACAGAGTATTTATAAAGAACAAAAAGCCAACAGTCAAAGGTTCTTTATTACAACAATGTTCCATACTGTAAGGGACAAGATAAGGTTGTCCCCATTCCCTTCCTTATTTTTACTGGCATTAGAAAAACAGTCAATTAAAATATGTCAAGAAAATAAAATCTTGGGATTTAAACCAGCAACACAAAGACATAAACTGAAATTATATGCTGACAATGTTGTTCTTACAGTTACAGGTAGTCCTCACTTAACAACCGCAATTGGGACTGGCAACTCTGTCGCTAGGCAATGTGGTCATTAAGTGAAATATCACATGGCCATAATGGATTTACAACATCAGTTCTGCTGTGGTTGTTAAGCGAATCACCCACGGTCATTAAGCATGACATCATGTAATTGCAACTTGCGACTTACTGCCAGCTTCTCCATTGACTTTGCTTGTCAGAAGCCACTGTGAAGTTCACAAATGGTGATCATGTGACTGTGGGATGCTGCGACTGTTGTAAATGCATGCTGGTTATGAAGCACTTGAATGGCGATCATGTGACCATGGGGATGTTGCGATGTAAGTTTGAGGACTGTTTGTAAAGCTACTTTTTCAGCGGTCGTAAGTTCAAACAGTCACTAAAAAGGGCAGTCATTAACCAAGGTTTACCTGTACTCACCTAAAGATTCTGTACTACCGCTGGTAGACTATATACCACAATATGGTTTTAAGTAAAGCTATCAAATTAACTCAAATGCTGACATGTAATTTGGTGGAGGAAGAAATGGAACATTTGCATGTAGCAATGGAGTTTAACATTACTATAAAAAAGGTTAAATACTTAGGAATCTCCTTGACAAAAAATAATGATTTATTTAAAACTATTATTTATTGAGGTGCAAAGCATAATAGCAGATATTACTAGATGGGAAAAAAACCCCTCAAACCTATCATCGCTAGAAAGAATTTCACCATTAAAATGAATGTTTTACCAAGACTTACATTTCTTTTTTAAATTATTCCTGTATATAAGGTATTAAGTGACTGGCATAAACAAGTACAGGTAACCCCTAGGTTATGTCCATTTGTTCAGCAACCATTATGACGGCGCTGAAAAAAATGGACTTATGACCGGTCCTCAAATTTCCAGGTGTTGCTGTGCCCCCATAGTCATGTGATCAAAATTTGGGTGTTTGGCGACTGGCCCACATTTACAACTGCCCTGCTGTCACCCCCAGCTGACCTTCATTGTGTTCTTCGCCTGCCTCTCCTCCACTGGTCTTGCGGGGGCTCTGTCGGCCATGCTGTGCATGCACCCCTGCCCCTCACCAGCGCCTCTCCCTCCAGCTGCCTTGCCATTCAGGAAGCCCTAGGCTGAATAGCCACCAGGAATTACAGCCAGGCATCCTGGCCACAGGCGGGGGAGGTGCCACGGAAATGTCCCTGCCTTGCTGCCCAGTGGGAGGATTGCCCGAGCTGGCAGTGGCGTGCAGCTCAGTATGGAGAACTTGCAGCCCTGACCCCTTGCCTTCCCTTCCTGGCAGGGCAGTGGCACCTGTTGGCACACCCACACTCCCTAGTGCCTGCTCAGGGCACCTGACCGCCTGCCTGTGCTCCCTAGTACCCACTGTTGAGGAAAATAACAAAAGTGGTCCCAAGAATTTATGGTGTATACACGTCACTACAGCAGTACAGGGACAGGGAACAGTTTTCCCCCGCAAGCGCTCCCTTATTCTGTTACCTGCCAATGGCCTTGCCGAACGGCACTGAATAAAGGAACAATTCCTCGTCGGTTGGGCTGGGCTACAGCCGCTCCTTGTTCTAGAAGCAGACGACAAACATCCAACTTGCCTCGTCCTGCTGCAGCAGTTAGAGCTGAAGAGAGAAAAAACTGATTGGAAAAATTTGAATATAGGCCCACAGCCTGCATTCAGAAAAAAAGAAAAATGAGAAAGGAAGGAAAGAAAGGAAAGAAAGGAAAATGGAACAAAGTCTTCAGGCTATAGTTTCCCACCCTTTTCCAAGACAAGTGGAACAGATCTTTTGTTAGGGGCAACTGCTAGAGACTGAGTAATATTTCTTTTTGCCCCCTTGCAAAAATTCCCATTCCCAGGCACTGCTGTTAATTAGAGTTATTCTTCAGTTCTGCTACATATAGAACTCTGTGTAAGTTAACAGTTTGCACACATGAACACAATAAAAATAACTTCATCAAAAATACTTCTAGAGAGGAATTAGAGTTCATTTGTTGGAGCAAACAGCCATACTACCTTAGTAGTATCTATCTACTACCTTAAAAGCTAATATTATTGTGCCACTTGATCCATAAAAAGTAGTTAGTCTTAAAGTATTATAATTCTTTATTTTTAAACATTCCCAAAACAAAACTTTTCTCGCATGTATTTTAGAATCCAGTAGTTTCTAGCATATAAAATTGAGACACAAAGGAACACTGCATGACAATTTCATCATCCCCTCAAACATTGATCTATGAGATCTATTTCTCATAGTGTTGACAGTTGTTGATGAACAATTTCAATAAAGAGAGGCCTATTTTAAATCATTGGTACACACTTCAATTTCCTGCCTCAAAAAGGGGTATTTATTTATTTATGGTGATTTTATGTCAGAAGGAAGCTTAAAAAGAAAATGTTTCTTAAAGGAGGACAGATTGAATTGATGCTGAGAAGCTACTACAATTTCTGGATTTTCTTTCAAACTTAACTGTATGACAAGTTACACTTGAAAACTGAAATGTGTTATTTTTTATATTTGGATCAGAATTCAAATAATTACTTACTTAAATATTTATATTATTAAAGTGTACAAAACATACAGTGAAATGTGCTGACCCCAAAATGTCCCATTCCAACTTTACTGGCACATTTCAGTAACCATATTTGTGTATTTGAAAATTTAAAATTTTTAAACTTTTTGATGATGTTCTATTTTAATAATCACTTTTTAATATTTTACAATGATTGTTTTTATCTGTTATTTTATTTAACTGTTGTACACTGTCCAAAATCGCTTTGTGTGAGATGGGCAGCTATCTAAATGTGATAAATAAATAAATAAATTCCAACATCAGAATGGCCTGCTCCTATTTTACTGGAAATACTCCAACCTCAGAAGAACCTGGTCTAACCTTGGAAAGTGTTGTGTATCTCTCTTCTATTGCACATAAACTAGAATCAAAGAATGACTCTAGACCTGAACCTAAATTCATAGAACTGAGGGAAAAAGCATAAAAATCTGGAAGAATCTCATCCTTTTGTTCTCTTCAAAGTCTAGGAAACATGGATAGGGGCCAAGATAGAAGCCCACTGCTTTAAAGTTGCAGGGTTTAGTCTGTTTAATTTGGAAGCTGTTTTTGATACCTCTTATTTCTGACATTTGAAGAAATACATACATACATCTACAGTGGTTATAAATGCAGGATCCTAGACAATGCAAAATGAAACAATTTCCTTTATTTATAGCTAACTTCAAGAGAGTACAGTAGGACATGTAAATAGTTCTATTATTATGGGTCAATAACCAGAAATTTGGGTTAACAGGGCATTTCCTGTAATGAATTTACAGCGATCGATTGATCAATCGATTGATCTAGCTAGCTATGGCAATGATTGCAGCTGGTCAACCTGTGAGGGAAGCTTAACGTAAGACTATTTCCTAGTTTGTCATTAGGGTCCCAGTTCAAAGCATGCTTCCACTTCACAAAAAGGACTGAGAGATATAAAATGGATGGCCAAATAGGTGCTGCAGCCTACATTATGAGCTTCCTTAAGCCAAGCTGTTGCTTTGTCTCTGGGGTTTTAGTACATCTACCTTAGTACATCTGGAACAGATGAATGGGAACAGTTAGAGCATTTTAGCTTTTTTGAGAGCCCCCAGTCCACCCCCAGGTACAGACTGATTCCCACCCGCCAATCATTCTCTCTCAACTCAATCTACCTCACAGGGTTCCTATGCTTAGATACAGGCACATAACAAAATATCATGTGATACTGTATGAGAATGTACTCTACTATTTTCTGCAATCTCTACAAAACAGCTGTACTTCTTCAGGAAAGTTCTTGCTGAACACTGGGCTATCCTGAAAGCAAAGTGGGGCAAAAGCACACATACTATCATAATGTAAATAGGTTTTCTTTTCTTGGCCAGTGTGTTGTAGACAAGCAATTTGTAGTGCTCTGTCTGTTTTATGGATCTCAGCAGGTGGCAGAATCTAAATGACCTTGTCTTACTCAGAAACTAAGCAGACCATAATAACTGAACCTGATGGGTACTAGAATAGGAAACTACCAGGGAATTCCACGGCTATAGGCTAAACTGGAAAGCACTCATGAACTGTTGCCAAAATAACTACATAGATATGTTACTACAGTTACAAGAAGTTGAACTTGATTTGATTTCCTTTTCATCTACAACAGATCCTGAGATTATGATTCCAGTATTTTAACATGTAAAGGTTGATCTATGGCAACATGTTAATGAATAGTTTCCTAGGGTGCGTTTTTGCGAAGGCTGTACAGTAGTTTTTTTGTATTTGGCAGGTATGAATGCTTTTCAGTTCATGTGCTTTTGTGTGTGTGTGTGTGTGTTTGTGTGAGAATGAATGAGTGTTGGACAGAGAGGTGAGAACCTGCTCTTTCAACATACAAAGTCCCCCAGCTTTGTTCCTTATGCTTAGGAGTTGATAAGCAGTAGTACTGACACTGCTCTCTCTCTCTCTCTCTCTCTCTCTCTCACACACACACACACACACACAC